AGGATTTTACAAAGTTTTAATGTTATATATTCACATAACAAGGCAATAAGTGTTGTTTGTTGATTTACCAAAAAAGTATTTTGAGTGTATATTACATATCATTCACACACACACACACACACACACACACACATATATATATATATATATATATATATATATATATATATATATATATATATATATATATATATATATATATTCCTTAAAAATTCCTTATATGACAATCCTCAAAGTTTTTCTTTTTTTGAAGATGCACACTTGCTTAACTTTGCTTAAAATATTGATCTCCTGCTTTCCAAATTGTTATTTTTTTAGCTAACTGAATGTCTATTGTAGTTGTTTATCATCAATTAGGCATATTCAGATTTGGCTTTAAGAAGAAGAGTAAAGACATAAATATTGAAGCATCCGCATGAATTACAAAGGCTTCTTTCTAATCAATGGGAAGCCATCTTAAGCTTCTATTGCAAAGTCTGCATTACTCTTGTTATGTGTCAATAAAAAAAACAAAAAAACAAATGATACTGAAACATTCTACACTTTAGAATTATTAGAACAGAATTCTGCTGTAACTGGATAGAAATACATATTTGTTCATGCAGTCATTGAGTAATGACTTATTGATCCAATTTCTTTTTGTCTTTCAGTTTATTGCAAGGGTGCATATAATAAAAATGAAACTTGGCTTGGTCTTGTAGTGGGGGGGGAAGCAGGTGAATCTTTCTGAAAAGAAACCCATTTAAGCTGTTACATTTTAGTCAATGTCTTTGATTTTGAAAGTTAAAGTGCAATACTATTTAACAGTTCACTGTAATGGGATTATAAGTCAAGTTTCCAGGATTATCTTGCCTGCTAACATTTTTTTTTACTAATCTGAACTTGCTAATCTAATGTATGTGTGTTCAACTATATCAGGGAAATTGAATTTGGTTGCATGCTTTTCATTTAGTCTTCAAAGTCCAAATAATGTGTTCTCCTAAAGAAGATATTGTCCTTGTATAGAAATTTCCAAGATTATTTTTCTTTCTTTACTATAATGGTAAAAAAAGATCATTTTCAAAAATATAATTAGAAATTAACATGATATGCTTCAACAACTAACAAAACATTTTTTTTCTTTTACTATTAACCTTGTAAAACCTGACCAATTCTATTAAACTGGTTGATATGGCATTTGTATATTAATATTTGTATTGGGTTTGATATATTCATAACTTTAGTTATTTGAAACCTGTTCTCAAATGATGTTTTTTGCTTAAATACTTTTTTCTTCACTCTGTAAAAATATTTATTTTCATTTTAGTTGAAATTGCATTGAAGTTGAATTTTTTTTTTTTTTTTTTTTACATTTTTATATGAATCAAAAACAATTTTCTCTTATCAGTACTTATCCTCCCAACCACAGATATGTACAACATTGTACATTGAAACAGTATTTTTACTGATGATAGATCGAATCAACATTGCCTTTTATTTTGTTCACTGCTGGGACTACTCATTAATTAAAAACAAAGTAGTGAATTTAGAATATCACAATATATTGTAGTTGAGAATTAAAAAAAAAAATTGATAAACTGAAACTGTTGAATTTGGTATTCAGGAACTCAGTGGCTAGGAAGTTAAGTGAAAAGTTTATTAATAGAAACTTGATTGTGTGTTAAATAACTAGTATTTTAAAAATGTTATTAGTTCTAAAATTAGGAACTACAGTTAAATACTATTTGTTGCTTGCATAAAGTTCCATGCTATAAAATCAGCAGCTTGAAAATAAGTCAGTGATTACCAACTGGTCAGCTTTAACCTCTTAGCTGCTGATAATTCTGCTGAGGGAAAAAGGGAATTAATTGCTTCAGGGAAATGTTCCGTTATAATTTCTAAAAATACAGAAAGCTTTGTTATTTCATTTCTTTTTGTTCAGAAGCAGCCTTTGTCATGTGGGGGCATGATAGTCCTAAATTAAATGTTAAAAGAATTAAGAAAATCACTAAAATATACAAGGGAATGCTGAAAGTTTTTGGCATGACCAAGAAGCCTTTTGAAAAAAAAAAAAAAAAAATTCTGGTCAAATTTTGGTAAGTGGGTTGGGTTGATAACTTTTCAGCACCCACCTCATATTTATCCTTTAAGTTATCAGAACAGCACTTTTGATGTTTCATTATATCCTTATTTAGGCTTCACTAGCTTGTCATTTTATAATAATAAAAAAAAAAAAAAAAAAATTTGAAAGGTTATAAGCTAGCAAATCACTCGGTCACTAAATGATTGATCTAGGTACATAATTTTTTTTAGAATATATATATATATATATATATATATATATATATATATATAATTTGATGTGGAAAATAAATGGTATTTAAACTGTGGTACTTGTAAAACTGACTTAGACTCACTCTGTCAAAAGTATTGTTATTCCCTTGACACCACTATTACTATATACACTTTTGACTCTCTTGGCAATATTTATTATTTTAAAATGTGATGATTAGAATTTTAATAAATCCAAACATGTAAAATGGATTTATGTATTTTCTTTATTCTTGAGAATTGACAACAAAAATATTAAACACTATTTATTAGATTGCTTATTTACAAGAATAATTTTATATTTACAAGATTATAAAAATGTGGACCAACTACATAATATTTATTATATACCATTTTACAAGGAAATAAATATGAAAAATTTTTTTTATTCATAAAAAATGTGTTTGAACTAGAAAATTTAAATAAACATGTAATGACATAGCTGTAATTATAAATTTTGAAAAAATGCATTTTCCAGGTATTTCTTTCAGTTGCTTCCACCATATAAATTCACTAAAATAGGTTGAGCATCTCTTCCTCTGAATTGAACACTATTTTAATTTTAGATTAGACCACACTCAATATTTTGAGTGTATATCTCCTTATACAAAGTTTTCCTTGTGTTTAATTACAGAATATCTAATTTTTAGGGCTAACAATTGTATTTGATATACAAATTTTGATAAATTTTGTAATTTTTAATTTAAAAGATTTCTTTTCAAATTTATTTCTTTTAAAATTTATTTCTTTTATAAAATTGTAAATAATAAATCTTTATAAAAGGTAAATAATAAATATCACCTTATACTTGGGTTCATATACTTTTATAATCTTGTAAATAAACATTGTTGAGAGAGTCAAAAAACCAAGGGAATAACCTTTTGATACACCATTTTTTTTTTTTTTTTTTTTTTTTTTTTTTGAGGTATGAAGATTAAACATTGCCCTCAATTGATATTAAAATTTCGATCATCTTCTTCATTAGTTATTTGGATAACCATAATTTTATTTATCAAGCTTATTAAATTTATTTCTTTTTTCTTTGTTGAATCAAATGTATTTGTATAGTTTCTCTTCTTCCTTCAATGACGGTCTCTTTTAAGTTGAATCTTTCAAACAGTCAAAAATAGTTAATCAGAATGTATCTTTTAAAAATTTGATTTTCTATTAATTTTGATTTGATTTTTTTTTTTTTTTAAACTGTAATCTCCTATCCCTTGAATAACTTAGAAAGACATTGGTCAAAATAGTTGCAAAGATTGTGTGTGTATATAGATATTTGCTTAGCTGAACTTAAATGTGGCACAGGGCCACCATAATGTGTGTATTGACATAATGTCTTGGCAGTTATTGCTCTAGTGTCAGCCTTTCTTTATCATTATTATTGTTATCCATGCAAAAATAATTGAAAATTTTTTATCTTGGAATGTACTTTTTTGAGAGGGGATTTCCTTGTGTATAGATTTTCTGAAATGAAATTTTAGAAGATAAAGACTTAGGAAAATCCAAACTCTACATGGACAATTTTCTTTCTACCTGATGTCTGCTTTGGGCAAGAACTTAATGGTTGAGTTATTTTTAATCTTTATTCTGAATATGCCTTACCTAAATGATTTCAGGGTATTTTTGTGATTTGTTTAAAAACTAAAAGGAAGAAAATAATATAAATTATAGAGGTTTCAAAGTTTTTCTTTCAGAAAATTTTAACTGCTGGCTAAAATTACATTGTGCCTACAAGTTATATTTGATATTCAATAGATTATTCTGATGGTTACTCTGACTTTTGTTTTGATTGGCCTACCAATCTTCCATTGTTGTATGCAATCTTCAGTATTTTTTACTTTTCCTTCCACTTCCTTATTAGTCAAGTGACAAAGCTTCTTGCTGCAATACTTTTAATTTTATTTGTTTGAATTTTAAGCTTATATATATATATATATATATATATTTGAGAACTATAATGTAATAGAGATTTAGGAATAACCTGAAGGAGGTTGGAGAATTGATTGGTTAATATATGGTGATCAGCCAAAGTGAGGATACTGTTTTGAATAATGACAATGACTCACCTTAGAACTTCAAACAACACAAGTAACATTTTTTTTTTTTTTTAACACTTATAAGTGATTTGTATTTTATTTTAATTTCTGATTTTGTTGAAATTTGTATATTTTTCCCTTCTACAATTATAATATAGTGAATGTTAAGCCTTTGCCTGTCCTGGACATCATGTGTGATGCACAGGATATAAGATTTTTACCTCTTTGCATGATATGTGCTGCACACATTCAATGATTTTAAGAGAGTGGTAAAACTAAGGATGTTTAAGAAAAAGTCTACTATTGAGCATGATGTCTGAGGAATGGCCTAGTCTAATATTTTGTGCATCATATATGACCACGAGATGCTTGCCTGTTTTATGATTTATAACTATTATAAGCTGAATTGCTTTGCAATAGTCATAAATCTGAAAACATTTATGAATGTTTGGATAGTATACGTGAAAATGCCCTGGACAGGTAAAGGATTAAGTTGGGGTAAAAGGTTATTTTCAAGTATGAGAACTGATATAAACTTCCAGTTGTTTAGGATTTGTCTTTTTTTTTTTTTTTTTTTTTTTTAATCTTTATTATTAAAAATATTTTTCATTGGGTGCTAAGTTACTTTTTTTTTTTTTTCTGCCTTGTCAGATATTTGAACGTATCCTTTATATTTGGGCCATTCGGCACCCTGCCAGTGGGTATGTTCAAGGCATCAATGACCTGGTCACACCATTTTTTGTGGTATTTCTCTCAGAGTACATAGATAATGGTAAGTGCTATTTAACTAATTTTCCTTTTATCAAAATGAAATTACACAAGAAGCTTATGTTTAAATTCTTACATTTTCAAAATATAAGAAGACTTTTGTCTTCTGGTTTTGATTTGATATAATACTTACTCTATTTATTGTTTTCTATTCTTAAATTAATATATAGTGGCATTTAGTCACTATAAAAGGAGAACTATAAGAGAAAGGAATTAATGACAGTTGAAATTAGTATGCTTCTAGTTTTCATACTATTCACTTATTTCCCGTATTTATTTTACAGACCCCAAATTTATGCCCCCCCCCACTCATGCTAACACTCATTATTTCCTATGACCCACCTTTTTTATAATCTTCCTTTTCAGTTTAGTCATATACTTTTTTACTGTTATCTTAAAACTTTCTCTTGTGAAATATTTTAGGTAGAACATATTACTCTTATTTAGTTTTTCTTTTTACTTTCCACAAAAATTTTATTATTTTCCCGCAACGTTAGAATTTGAATATTAAATAAAAAATAAAAAAAAACAATTTTTTGTTTTTATGAGATGACCATTTTTCACTAATTCAAATTTAAACTGATGCAACAAAATGGTTTATCAGAAAAACAATTTTTTTAAATTAAAAATTTTACTATTGTTTCCAAATTTCCACCTGTCTCTTGAAATGACAATCACAGATTCTCCTTTAGTCATAATGTTCCCTCTTTTTTTATTTTATCTCTCTTTGCAGATATTGAAGTGGAGAATTGTGACCTGAGTGAATTACCTGTGGAAACTTTGCAAATCATTGAGGCTGACAGTTTCTGGTGCACATCCAAATTGCTGGATGGCATTCAAGATAATTACACATTTGCACAACCAGGGATCCAAATGAAAGTGAATGCTCTTAAGGAGCTTATCAAACGAATTGATGGTAAGGCAGGCTTTTCTTAATCTTTGAACAGATGGTAACACATTAACTTTAAGTATTACTTACTTTAAATTCAATTCTGAATGTTGATTTTCAAGATTAGCAGACAGGGCTTCCTAACTTAGAGTCTTGGTGCAACATAATCTTCCTACCTTTTGCAATTTGACCTTGTGCCATTCCAAGCTAAGCTTAATAAATATCATGTTTTGATTAAAAGCTGTGATTTTGTTTAAAATGTAATTTGTGTTTTTTAATTTGTTCACACAAGTTTAGCTGTGCAACTTATTGCAAATTATTTCAAGTTCTTTAGTTACAGAAACATAATATTTTATAATGTTGAAGGAACATTACTTTAAAAGGTTTAAAAGTCAGTTATTTGAACTTGTTTTTTTTTTTTTTTGCTGGGTATGCAGGCAACAATATGATTCTCATAAAAATGTAAATGGTCAATGTAATAAGTATGATTTAGTTTTGATTTTATTTAACTTCTTGCCAAATCCATTACATTTAAAAAAAAAAAAAAAAGCATCCAAATTATTTGGATTAAATAAATTAATATATTCCATTATATTATAAAATACAGATACAAAATGAAGCATTGCATGGCCCACATAGATTTTAGTGAGCTTGGAAACTTACCTCATGACTGTTTTTTTTTTTGTTCCTTTTTTTATCTTTTCAGTGCCATTACATAAACACTTAGAGAAACATAATGTCGAATTTCTCCAGTTTGCCTTCCGGTGGATGAATAACCTGCTGATGAGGGAAATTCCCTTGCGGTGTACAATCCGATTGTGGGATACATATCAGGTAATCCATTTAGAATGGTTAACAAGTTGATCTAGCATTAATTGGTTAGATTTAACTAAGAAGTTCAACAGTAAATTGTATTAGTCAATTTTCTTTTTCAAGACAAGCAAACCTAAAATAAAGTATTATTGTGTGTGTGTGCACGCATGAATAAAAAGAAAAAGTGAGTGTGGAGTGACTTGATTGAGCTTGCTATATGATTTTGATTTTTAAATCCACATGTAACTAAGATCTAAGCATTTTGTTTGCAATTTGTTAATGAAGCAGAGACTAGGCACTCAGAATGATAAAAAGTGAACAAATGAAACTTTAATCTCTATGAATATTTTGAATAAACTGTTAAATTATGCATAAGCTCATCAGACACATGTGTGATTATTTTGTTTGGCTATAACTCTTACAATTCAAATGAGAAAGCAGTTGATGCAATGAGTAATTTTTTGCAGCCCCACTCTCTCATATATATATATATATATATATACATACATACACACACACACTCCTCACTTAATGACCAATTTCTGTTCCAACAACCTTGGTGCTAAGGGAGAAGTACCTGACTGCTATTTCAGGAATAATAAGTATGTAATAGGATTGTGTCAACCAGCTTCAGATATTTTTAATGTCATTTTTACACTATTTGTAACATTTCTAATTTATTTCTATTTTTTTTAATTTTTAAAATTTTTTTTTTTTTTTTTTTTACAGTACTGTAGTGTACTGGTATGTAAATATAAAAAATTAAAAAAATTGGTTGTTTATTCTGTACATAACTTCAAATTTTACACTGTAAATACAGTGCAAGGAAATTATTTATTTTTTACTTTATTTGTTCATTTTATTTATTTTGATGCATTTGGAAGAAAGGGAAAATATAAAATGTATAAAAAAAAATGATCAAACTTACTAAGAAATTCTGAATAGATTAGCATGTTATTTTATTCATCATTTTTTGTGTAACAGTGACTTGAGATCATCATTGTTGAAATCTGAATCATTAGCTGTAGAAGAACCTGGTAAGAGAGACAATGGCAATACAATAAGATATGATAATAGTACAGAGCAGAATGACCAATCCAAAATGTTGGGCTGTGAATGCTGATCAACTGTGTGTGTTAATAAAACTCACTCTGACTCTGCTACTGTATTCCCACATTTTTATACCATGCTTAGATTTTTTTATTTTATGAGATTAAGCTGAGCCTATATTAATACACTCCTTAGCTGTTAAAATAGGCCTGTATTCTAGCATGTCTACTATTGTACAGTGTGTATATGATCATACAAGTGCATTTTCATAGTATAACACCTACTGAACTCTTTTTATCATATTGAACCTTATTGCAGCTTGCACCACAGTCTAGAATTCAGATACAGTGCACTGGTATGAGTGTTATTACACCACATAATGCCCTAAAGACTTTAATTGGAATATCTTTTAGTGTGCACAGGTCAAATCAGCATATTTTTTTTAGGTTCTTTGTGTGTGTGTGTGTATATATATATATATATATATATATATATATATATATATATATATATATACACACACACACATCATGTTCCCCTATGTAAAAAGCAGACTGCCCTTACATGGCTTTTGAAAATTGTGGTAAATTGTATAATTTTAAAAGGATGCTGTTTGGGAACACAAATGGAGTGTGGCTGGGTTTCAAAAAATTTTGAATGAAAATAATTGAAAAGGAAGGTCTAAAGAGAACATTTGCATATATAGATGACATGACCAGTTGTGGTATTAATGAAAGAGGGCAAAATTCAAAGAACTGATTGGAAAATATGGTCTCACCTTAAATGAGAATAAATGTGTGTACAGAGTAATGAGAATAAAACTTCTGAGCTGTGAAGTAAGTAAAGGGACCAATTAGACCAGACCCTGGAAGGTTGAGGTCTCTGCAAGAACTCTCTCCCCCAGGCAATATGAAAGCTCAGAGGAGAATTGTTGGAATGTTCACTTACTACAGTTGGATTCCAAACTATTGCTAAATAACAACACTATATTCACCTTACCTGCTAAAATAAAAGAGTCCTTTGAATATTTGAAAATGGAATTAGAAAGAGCTGTAGAACACAATCTAGACAAGGGAAAAAACCACTTTAAATTGAAACTGATTCTAGCTGATTCTGTTGTGATGGTTACACACCTGGCCCAGGGTCGGATCCTTTGGTTCGGGCGCCAACGGTGGCGTCGCTCCTCCTGGTCGCTCCTCCTGGGTCCAAGCGTGCCCGCTCAACCCCTTGGTCAGATGATCACCAGCCTCGCCTTTCCCGACCTGCTTCAATACCTGGTCACTAAAGCAACTGTGCCGATCTTGGTCTGTCTACTACGCTTTGTGTTTAGATCTTAGACAGACCAGGACCAGCAGGGATTGGGGCTCCGGCGGGGGGTGGCAAAACACAAATAAAGAAAAATAAACTCACGAGACACAAAAAAGATTGCTGATGAAAAAAATGGGTAACAACCCTTTATATCTTAATGTCCGCTACATAAAAACAAAATTGTTCTCATTTCCCGACCCGCTCTGTGGACTATGGCACCAAGCTTCTATCACACAACCTAAAGATTTGAATTGCCTACTCTTTAGAATTGTGTATGTCGGAGTGGTTTTTGGTTCGACACTGGGGCTAATTTCTAACGATCATTCACAGTTGATTCTTCTCTTCGACTTGAGTTGTATTTCTTCTTCTTCGTCGACTTAGGCTGGAAGTTCTCTTGTCTTCGACTTGGGCTGGAAATTTCTTCTTCTTCGACTTAGGCTGGAAGTTCTCTTGTCTTCGACTTGGGTTGTATTTCTTCTTCTTCGTCGACTTAGGCTGGAAGTTCTCTTGTCTTCGACTTGGGCTGGAAGGATCTCTTGCCGCAACTCTCTGTCGTCCGAGGTGATCTCTTCGCTGCCGTCCGGGCTGAACTCTTCCGTAACTCTGCCACAACTCTTGGCGTCCTTGAGCAATCTCCTTCTTCGTCTGCTTGGGCTGGTAGTTTTCCTGTTTCAACTTGGTGGAAGATTTCTTGTTTCAACTTAATCCTCTCTGTCGACAGAGGTGGTCTCTTCGGCAGATCGACTTTAGAAGTCTGCATCTCCAATTCTTCTCAGGCTTTCAGGCAATCTTCTTCTTCTTCTACTTCCAAACTGTTCTCCTGTCTTCGACTTGGGCTGGAAGGATTTCTTGTCTGAGATTCTTCTGCCATAAAGGGGCGGAGTGAATCGGGCCTGATGGCGCGTTCAGGCTCTATCCTGCCTGCGGTCCAACTCTCAACTCCAACTGCAACTCCAACTCCAACTGATTTCTGTCGACTGGGGTCCTGCTTTTATTGACTTGCAACAAACTGGGGTGGGTCTGTACGGCCAGGGGTTTTCTCGATAATTCAATAGCAACATTAATTCTGTTTCCCCATTATCACTATTGTTTTCACCCCTACTTCCTCATAGTGCTTTTTGGTGGGGGGCGCATATCCATCTCTTCGGTCTCTCGTTGTCAAAAATGAGTTCTGATCGAATTTCTTTCCCTTCTCTTCCATCCGATCCGTGACCGTCTCCGACCAATTGTTATTGATCGAACATCCTTTCTCCTCTTTTTGCGGGCGTGGTTACATCGTTCTTGTTTTAAAAAAAAAAAAAAAAAAATCCATTTTGCCTTTTTTTTTTTTTTTTACATCTTATAAAATGACAATCTTGGCTTTCTCTCACCTGGACTTTGTCAAACAGCCCGCCCGCTAATTAGACTTGACTTCAGAAAGGATCTTTTCCGCCTTCTTGGCCCTCTGTGAGCCAAAAGCAATTGTCCCTCTTTTTTACCTCTTTGTTTTTCCTGATAGTCAAAAAATCTTAATTATCTACTTTGAAAATGTCTCCACTTTATTAACGTGGGTGTCCAATTCTTAACAGGTCAGGATCTGTATATAGTTCCACCGGTCCTCCCCTCAACCCAAAGACACTTTTCTCTGATTAAAAATTTCATTTCTATTGTTCTAAACCAAATTGATAAGGAGTCTCTCCACGCAAAAAAGTCGGTCAGATGCTTTTGATATCTGGTCTACATCAGCGCCCGTTTTGATATCATGTCTTTTCCCTTTCTTTCTTTTTATTATTTCTAATTCTATTCTTCAATTGTCTTTCGAAAATCGGCCAAGACGCTGACCTAAATCTCTTTCTGACTCCTATCTCCACCCTCAATTGGGTCATGCATCATACAACTCTTTTTCTCTTCTTCTTTCTTTTCTTTTTTTTTTTTTTTTTCCTTCTTCTTCCCTTTAAGATCGTCTAGTACAATCTTAGTGAATTATTTTCAACTCAGTTATTTTCCGTTTAAAAAAATCAACAACCTGTTTAGTAACCAAGTAAGAAAAAATTAAATCATATTTCTATGAATATTTCTAATAATGCAAGGTGCCACACTGTGAGCTTAGCTGTGATGCTAAATCAAAGAGGCAGGCCTGTTGCATTCTGGTCCAGAACTCTAAACCCTCAGAATGAAACTACTCCCCAGTAGAAAAAGAAACTAATGTGATCATTGAAACAATCAGGAAATGGAGTCATTACCTGAAAGGAAAATATTTTATTTTTTTCATGGACCAAGAAACACTATCCTATATTTTAAAGACTAAAAGCAACAAAATTTATCACTGGCGAATTGAATTTTCCATTTACAAATATGCTATTAGATATCAACTGGGCATCAAAAACACATACCCAGATGTATTAACAAAAGTACATTATGCTTCTGTCATAAATACCAATCTTAAAGAATGACATGATAATTTGTATCAAGTATGATGCACTTTATCAGGTCGAGAAATTTGTGATTCAATTGAAGGGGCTGAACCAGGAACATGTGCCTTCCCTAGCGCAAGCACTGAAGGTGCTTTAATCATTTCACCAAAGAACCAAAACAACTTGAGATGAAACACTAAAAAAAAAAATTTAATTTTTTTTTTTTTTTTTTCAAAATAAAGTATTCCAAATTTACATTGTCAAAAAAAGAAAAAGGAAGGGTGGGACTGTTGTATTCATATGCGAATCTCCACCTCATAAATAGCAGTTGATACAGCTGGAAACTAAATTAATTCTAACCTTGAAGACAAAACTACTAGAGAAATAATAGTGAATACTTTTAACTCAGTACCTACACTAATTCGCTGAAAAAACAGCATAGCATGATGAAAAAAAAGCTCCAATCTTGATAAAAACAAAGTTTTATTGTCAAAATGTTTGTTATTATTAAGAGGAAAGACCAAGTACTTTTTATTACTTTATTAAATTTTTTAACCCTTTCTAACATGTTTGAAATTTTGCCATCTTGATTTTTTTTTTTTTTGTGTGTGTCAGTGGTGGACCAGAGATTATAGGTATTTAGCACCTTTTTCCTGTAAAAAACATTGATTTGGAAATTCTTGCAAAAATCAAATAATTGTTGGATTTTAATGAAACTTTCATGACTTATTCACAAATGAATGAAATTAATTTTGAAATTGTTTTTTTTTTTTTTTAAATCTTGGTAAAATTTTTTTTTTTTTTTTTTTTTTAATTTTGTAAAGTTAAAAATTTCAGCCTCTTCATATTAGTTATTTAGTTAAAAGTAGGACTCCTTTGAGAATTTTAGTAATCATTATGTTTTTGTCAAACAAAACCACCATTTACTGAAAATCTGCTCTGAATTGTAAAATAAAAAATGCAATAAAACTATGGCTTCATTTAGAAAAGCTTTTAATTGCTTTTGTAAATAAGATATATCAAGGACACTTGTCTTAAGAAAAAAAAAAAAATTTTTTTTTCCTTTTGATGAATAATGAATTTTTACAAGAATTGTTTTCATTTTTTAAAAAGTTTATTTAAAAAAAATTAGTTTTAAATCTTTTAAAATTCTGTATTAATTTCAGCCATTTAGATTATATTATTATTAAGTGAAAGCTAATCATAAACAGTAAAGCTTAATTCCAGTCTTCAAACTCAAAGATTTTTAAAAGAATTTTGAATTATTCTTTTTATGCATATAAATTTGCCCATTCTTGAAAGCATTGGTGACCACACACAAGATTATCAGAAAATAAGAGCAATGATTATAACAAATTTATAGTCGACATTCCTAAAATTAGATTATGGAGAATAAAGGCGCTTACGTCATTTACTTAAATTATGTTTTAACAGATAAAATCTCTGTAGGACAACAATAAACCTGTTATCACCTTGTCATCACTTGTCAAACATGTAAACATAGATACTGTTGGTTAAAAACACAGCTACTGTTTATTTTAAAAATTCATTTCTGTGTTATTTCAAACTTAAAGTAAATAATATTTGTTTCAAATCAGATTAATTATACTTTAAAACAGCTAGTTTCAGAAAAGCATATTTTATTTTTTGAAAATTTTTAATAAAGAGAATTACATTACAATAAAAGACTACTAAAAAAGGTCACTAATCAGCTATTTTAGAAAAAAAAAGAAATGAAAATCAATTCTAATCAATATAATTTCTGTTGTTCAGATTATTTTGCTTACTGGAAATAATAAATTTAATTCTTTAGTTTTCAATTAAAGCTAAAATGAAAGCTTCAAGAAATTCATTTTAAACCTTAGGTATCATGAATTAGTTGAGGTACCTTCTTTTAACTAATAGTTTACAACACACAATTTAAAAAAAAAAAAAAGATTATTTTATGACAATAGCAAAGTAAATATAAATCATAAAAGAGAAGAGCAAAGGAACAATTAGTAATACTTGAATTTTGTGTGCAGTGGTGTTATCATGGTGAGTAGCTTGGTGAAAATATATTATTAAAAGCCACTTTTAATATAAGTGAAACTTCGAATTAATTTCAGATCTTGAAATATTACAGCGCAAAAAAAAATCCTGTTTGTAAGTTTTATTCCATTTAAAATTTAATGAATACTGTTATACGTGCTGACACACACACACACACACACACAGTGTTAAAAAAGAGCCTTCTTGCTTCTTTTATAGATTATAAATGTTTAGAATGCTATTGATTGGATTGGCTGAACTACTGTGGTAACAATGTTAACACTGAGTTGTCTAAAATATTTGATTTAATTTCATTAAATCTTTCTCTAAAACCAACGTCTGTCAGAATAAAAAATATCAAAGATATATTTTTTTTTTTTTTTAAGTCATTTTAGAAGGAAGTATTAAATAAATGCCTGACTTGTTATTTTAAGAGTTTACAACATCAGATTTTAAACTGAGCCCACATCATTCATAACTGTGCATTACTTATATTATTGTTTTCTCCAGTTAGAGATTTCCCTACAAAACGCATTAATGAAATTTTCTCTTTGGGATTATTATGGAGACACTTGCACAAAATAAAGGGAAATAATAAATATCTCGAATTAATCTTATGAGTAATTTTTGTAAATAGAAATAAGGTAAAGATAACTCTTTAAAAAATCAGGGATCAATTTGACACTGTATTTATATATACACCCCACTCCTAAAATGATAAAAAAAAAAAAAAATTTTTTTTCATAGTGACAAATTTCATGCTGAGATCTAATGGACATTAATCAACAAAAATTAGTCACCAAAAAATTTTCCATTTGTATTTTTTTTTTTTTTTTTTTTTTTCCAAGTAAACCATTTTCCTTTTGTAGGGCCCAAAATACTGGTAAATATCAATCTAAAATCAATCTAATTTTAAAATAAGAATCAAATTTTTATCAGATTGTCTGTTAAAAACTTTTTTTTTTTTTTGGTAAATATAAAACCATTTTAAAATGTCATATTTATAAATGTGCTCAGTTTCTGAAATAGTTAGTTTCTAACTGTTGATGTAAGAAAAAAAAACAAAGAAATATAAGTACATCTGCTACCAAGAGGTTGTAACTGAGCAAATGAACAATTTCCTTTTTCTTTTGTCTTTTTAGTCTGAAATCAATGGCTTTGCTGATTTCCATCTTTATCTCTGTGCTGCTTTTCTCACAAGGTTCTCAGCAGATATTCAACGAGAAAAAGATTTTCAGGTACAAAAAACAAAACATTCAGTGATGTGCATTCATGTGTATATACTACTGAGTACATTACACTTAATATTTTCATATTTTATGAGAAAATTGAGTTATTACCATTTTATTTATATCAAAATAAAAATAACATAATATCCAATTTAAATTATTTTGTTATTAAAATATTTTTTCTATTATATTTTGATGTACCTTTTCAATGATTAAAACTTAATTTCTTTATACATTATTAAATAGTGGCTTGAATAAAGACAATTTAGCAGTTAAACTCAAAAAATGCTGTTTGAAATGTCTGCTGTTGAAAGTATTTTCTAACTCTGTTCCTAATGGGGTTTTATTTGCTGACATTGCAACCATTTATCAGTTGATTGTTGTGCAAAGACACTTCAATATTCTTCAAGAGGACAAAGTTAAATATACTTTACAGAAGTCTTGGTCATCTTTGAGTAAAGTGTAGTAGCTGTTATATTTGAATATTAAAATAAAAACTGATATTAAAGAATTGAATGCATGACTAAAGTATAGTGTTTTATCTGCCATAATACATCATAGAATATCAAAATACATTTCTGTATTAATGTGTGAAGAGGTGCTGAAAAGGTTTTGGCCTAAACCACTACTTAAAATTTGACTACTCTTATGTGCCTAACACTACAGGGGTGGGGATTTCTCAATATGCAATAAATGGGAGGTGTTCTTCATAAAAGGAGTGGTCATTTAAAGGGTCAAAAAGTGCAACGGTAGTAAATGGGGTAGTTTTAATAAGCTTGGTGGTAGGGGGGTATTTCTCAAGAAAAATAAGTGCTCACTCCTTCTATTAGGCACTAATGATTTTATCAGAATGGAATACATCTATGCCATTCTCTGACAATAAATAAAACCTGTGTCTAACCTTTAGGATATATTGGAATACATTAGTCTCAACTAGGATTACAGCCTCCATTGCATTGAAACACCAGTTCCTGTATGATCACTGAAGTTAAGCAATGTACCTAGATGGGTGACTGCTTAGGAATACCAGTTTCTATAACCTTGGATATGTGGGTTATGAAATGGATAATGGTTTCGAATTGTTCCTATTCTAATTGGGTTTGTTATATTCATTTATGTGCTAATACTCTTGGGAAAAGTATAAATCAACCTCTTCTCCCAGTAAGACTTGTATCATTAATTCATTATCTCCCAAAACATTTATTACAATCTAAAAATATTTTCTGGCTTTAAATAACCTGCAAAGGTCTGATAAGCTGTAGAAACCAAATCCATTAACCAGTTGGACTCGACTAGTATTTAGTCATGAGTGACTTTATATTGGTATTCCCATCGCCAGGACATTGCAAAATATAAGAATTAAATTAACAGTTGAAGAGAAAAGAACAAAAAAATGCAAAGGAATAATATTGTCTTTTGGGAATTTTTTTGAATATTAAGAATATTTTTTTTCAGTTTTATAGTTCTAATATTTTGACAGAATAAGTAAATGTTTAAATGATATAGATAAATAAATTTTATAATGACTATTATTTCTATTTTTCTTTTATTTAAAAGAAAAACAAAACAAACTTTCTGTATTCTATTGCTAAGGTATCTCTTTGGTGTCTCTTTATTTATTGTTTGTAATTAATGATTTGTGGAGATTAATTTGTGGGTCTGGAATGACTTAGACTAACCTTAACACTTTTAGTAAAATTTCTGATGTTGAACTTCTTTGTTTACAGGGCATCTTGATGCTGCTACAGAATCTTCCAACTCACCATTGGCAAAATGAAGAGATTGGAGAACTTTTGGCTGAAGCCTTCAAACTAAAATACATGTTTGCTGATGCACCTAACCATTTGCTGCAGAAGTCATGAAAGCAGCTGATTATCACTGTTGGGGGTGTTATAGCCCCCCCCTCCCTCCCAATATTCTTTACAAATGGATCGTACCCTCCCTCTCTCTCTGTGACTGTTTCTTGGTCAGTAAACAAGCAAGCTAACATTTCAGGACCATATTCAGAACTAGTCAACTTTTGTTCACTGGATTCTTTAACACATCCTGCACATACACACGCAGTTTCATTAATGCATACAATTACACTTGAAATATTTACATAGTGTAACTATGTGCAACATACATATTTTTTTCTTATTTAGAAAAAAAAGCCACTGCTCATCTAGTAAAAACATTTACCTTGTTAGACATAGCTGATTCAAGTAAAGTCAAAGAAGACTTAAGGCAAGTTTTACATCCTCTGTCCTACTGCAGTGGTCCTTACATACATATTTGCATATATTACACTTTTCTAGATATGTTTTTGAAGATAATTTATACAGGGAAGCATTATGTATATTTATATACAATAATAGTTTAGTCATACATCTATACTGTATGTTTGTGCTGCTTGTCAGCACAAGAGGAAAATAATTATTACATACACAATACACGATGATACCAAAACCTGCCTATATACAGTTATATCCAGCATTACTATACATGGTACATAAGGACAAAAGTGTCTATCCATATATTAAAGGATAAAAGTGGCTATGAAAAAGTTACTTGTAGATATTTTATAATTAACAAACTGGAAATAACAAAATCAATTTTGGATTTCCTTGTTTGTTAATCAATTCTTAGTTAATGACAGGGTTTTCTGATTTGCTATTTACTTTTGAAATTGTCTTATAAATAGACATGAATGAGCATGCATGTATATACTGAGCTTAATCTGGCACAGGGCTCCATACATTGTGAGAGGAAGATTGTGTTGCACCAATCTTTTACTTTGGGAGGGCAGGGCTAATTTGAAAATCAGTATTCAAAATACTGGCTTTTACCTGTGTTTGTTGACAGCTACTGATGCCAGTAAGAAATGCACACATACCTCACATGCACAAACATGTGTATGAAAATGGCATATTTCCAATATTTGCCAAGTGGTGAGTAATTTATTTAATATTTACTTATGATTTCTGATTGTTCACATCAGCATCAGAACATTACACTTTGATAATGTTTTGGTAATTTTGTGAAGAAATCCTGAAATATGAGCTAAAATGATAACCACACTTGTCTGTTAATCAAAATCAATGAAAATAAATGCACAATGATTCGATTCTTATACTATAATTATTATACACAAATCATAGCTTGCATAATTTAGCTATGTATAAATCTATGCTATGCACTTGCTGGTGATTCACAAGCTAATCTTATAAACTATTGATAGTGCCTAGGATTGTTACTGGAAGTCCTAAAAATGCCTTGTACCATATTAAACTTAAATAACTATATGGGTGACTTACTGTGCAGTAATGGTAGGTGAGATTGTCTAGTAGACCATTACTACTGTTTAAAGAGTTTGGTTCTAACTGGGGGCACTATGTTTGTAATGTTGTGGAAAGGAAAGTTTAAATAACTGTACAACTATTTGCATATTCTTTCTAGGAATATAGATTTAGCAAATTGTGTGTGCGTGTGTGTATATATATATATATATATAATGATTATATTTTTATTAATTATATATTCAATATTTTAGGTAAATAGCCATCATTAATATTCAAGATGCAATGATAGAGGATATTTTATATATTTTTTAACTTTTATAAACAAGAATAAGTAAACTAATTTTTATATATATTAGTATGTCTACAAAAAAGTTGAAATATGCAAAAACAGGATTTCTGTTGTAAAGCAAATTTCAAGTTTATTAGAATTACTAGCCTTAAACTGATCTATTTCTAGTACCTTGTTGGTGTAATGTGGCAACAGTGATTTCCATAAAAGGATTATTAAAATTAAGGATATATATATATATATATATATATATAATATATATATATATTTTCAAGTGTTTTCAAAAAAAAAAAAAGGGTACAAGTTTAATTCAGATGGCACATTTTCCTGAGACCAGTAGAAATTAATTTCACCATTTAAAAAACAAAGATGTCAATGACATGTAGCCACTAAATATAATATGAATAGTAATAATATATATATATATATATATATATATATATATATATAATAAGGGAAGACCTATGACAAAGTTGAAATTTTTTTTGTGTTTCATCCTTTAGGACTTCATTGAACTAAAGGACAAAAACATCACATGGAAACCTTTTCCACTTTGTCATAGTTTTTCCCTAAAATTGTTTTTGATATATGGGAAAGTTATATATATATATATATATATATATATATATATATATATATATATATATAATCAAGAACAATTTTAGGGAAAAAAATGGAAAATTGTTCAATGATATTCTAAAGGCTGAAACATATCACAAAATATTTTTCCACTTTGTCATAGTTTTTACCCTAAAACTATTCTTTTTATATATATATATATATATATATATATAAAAGTCTATGCTTAGCTATCTCATCAGTTATGTAGAATGTGCTTTCTAAGTAATAGATTTAACACTTGTATTCAATTTGGTGAATCCTAGTTTAGCAAGATTTATACATGTACAATTTTACAGCAAGTCAATACATATGTTACTTCCAACTTCCAGAAATATTGGAACATGCAATTTAATTCTGAGATCTGCAGTCTGCTGATCATCTGTAATCAAATTCAACTTGCCTACACAAAAGGAGACTGAAAATGTTGTGCTAAGTGTAACAATTACTTTTCATAAGAAAACAAACCTGTATAAATTACACAAGAGGAAATATGTACATTCTAAAACAGCTGAAACAAATAATTTTTAACTGGCGAAATGTCAAGGCCTGTGTAGTGATGTATAGGCTTTGCAATGGACGCCTTTCAATCCACATGTATATTCTACAAGAATGCTGCTAAAATTGAATGTAAATAACACAAATACTTATGTTTTCATGGACGGAGTTATCACACCCTCTTTGCAATACCATTAACTCCCATTGTGGTGATCATGTCCAGTCCAAATGTTTGTGACTTCACCATCTTATTTGCTGCAAAGGGAGTGTGGGAGGGTTTCTTTACTTACTCTGCCATCCAATGAGGACTCTGCAGACCAACCATGTTTGTCTGTATCAGGAAGTTGTGGAGAGAAATTCATTAATACAACACTTAACAAGATTCTTCTCCTTTTGGTCTTTTTTCTTTTATTCTTGCCTTTCTTTTTTTTTTTTTTTTTTTCCGTAAGCTCTCTTTCACTTTTGTTATTCATTCTCTTAGTGTAAACTTGTATCCATCTATCCCCACCACTAATTACCATCTGTTTTTCCTCTCCCTGCTCCCTGAACTCACGTCTCCCTTTGTCCCCTAACTACTTGAATTTACTTCCTCTCCATCCCCCTTACCTGTATTCCCATCTCTATCTATTTATCCCCCTTGCCATAATTGTCTTTGTTTTACTCTTTCTTTCTGCATAAAAAAAGAAGGAAATATCAGTGGTAAATTCTGTCAGAGGGACTTTTGCAGTTATTTACCATTTTTACTTAAAATAATTTGAGGAGTAGGAAGGAGAAATAAATTTAACATAATTTTATAAAATTTGGTTTGTTTTAAAATTAAAAACAAAAAATATTAAAGTTTTAAAAAAATAATTTTTTTCTTTTTCATTTTCTTATTTCATTTCTTTATAAGTTGATTTGGAAACCTTGGTATTCTAAGGTAAGAAGAAAAATGTTTCAAATTTGAAGTTCAAATAATGTGTGTTGATAATTTTAAAAACATTGTGGCAATTTTAATTAATAATAAAAATGATAATAAAGTAACCTCATTTTCAGATAATGAAAATTAATTTAAAACCTTTTTTGTTTAAGAAGTCAGCCATTTTATTTTTAACTGATATGTATTCAAGATCTTGTGGTTAATTTTTGACTTCTGTCCTCAACTGAACCAATAGAACCACAACAGTGAACTCATCTAAATTGAGATTTTGTTAAAACGAATATAAAGGTATGCTTCATCATAAATGCATAATGATAGAAGATCAAATTCACTAACTTGAAGTTTTTAGTAAAATGTTAATGTTATAAGGATAAACAAGCCAGACTCTTATAATATAAGCAGAGAAAACAGATTCTAATAAGATAGAAAACAAATTTCTGAGGTGGTAGTAAGTTTGCCATTGTTGTGTTTCAAAAATGCTTGAATTCAATTCTGTGTTTTTAATAATACTAATCGGCAGAGAGTTACCATTGAATAAGTATTATAGATCTGTAACAACAATCACAAAATATTAAAGAATTAAAAGAGAAGGTCAGTGGGGTTTGGATTTGATTGAAACAGATTGTGAATATTAAACCAGCATTTATAGATTCAAAAGTTGAGTGATTTGAATGAAATTATATTTGTTTTTTTTACTTCTCTAATCTGGAGAATAGATGAATTGCATAGATGTCAACAAAAAAGTAACAAATTGTTAACTTAATTTGTTGTTTATTTATAAGATTATCAAGAGAAAAATAGCTAAAGTGAAAATCTATCTAAGTTAGTTTAAAATGAGTGACACAGGAATACTTTTGAGAATTTAATGATAATTTGGACTAATTCTAACTTCAGCAACATTTCTCTAAACTAAATATCAATAGGTTTCTGTTTGTTAAAGATTGTCATTGCTGTTTTTAATCTTTAAATTGAAACAGTCTTTCAAACTGATTTTCTGGATATAACTTTTAAGAACTCCAAAGATTGAAAAGATAGGATTTTTCCATGGGAATTTTTTTCACTTTATTTATAAGAACAAAACACTTTATGAATCCAAACATGAAGTCCCGTGTTTGTTAAAAAAATCAAATCAGAATGTGTGTCACTTGATTACTACCAGATGTTGCATTCACCTAAGAAAAAGAAAACATTGGCTAAAACATTGGATTAAATCAACAATTACAAAAACTAAGGCAGTCATGAAATCTTTCTGTGTAGTCTATTGCCTTTTGTATGAAAACTCTTTTCATCAGAAGAAACTAAACTAAAAAAGAAGAAAAAATTGTAAGCACATTTATTTCTGGAATATGAAAATTTTGTATTTACAGTTTGCTTTTCCTTTCTCTCTCCATTGGTGTCTGAATATTCTTCAGTGATTGCTACACCTGAAAAGTATTAGCACTAATATATGATCCTTTTAAATAAAGAGCTCTTTGACATTAAACCTCACCTCTAGATGAATTCATCGATCTATGATTTACAATCTACTGTATGCTTTTTCTTGACCCAGTACTAAATAGATACCAAAAACTGTCATTGTTATAACAAAGCTGTCCAAGGATGCCTGGAACAAGTTTATCACATCTTCCAAAGTGTACAGAGCTTGCATATTTAATACCTTTCTTTGTGACATTGAGAACTGGACAATCTACATGCACTGAGAGCACCACTCAACCCATGTCTTTATCCCAAAAAACAACCTATAAAAGGCATTTGCTGAGAGGTCCTGTCTTGTAAGACACCTGTTGCTGAAATACAGTGATGTCTGCAAACATTACTTGAAGTTTTCTTATATAGTAAACATGTGGGAAAAGATATTTGTGGATCACTGTGCCTGCTATCACAACTGCAAAGGAGAAAGAACAATATTTGCAAGAGTGAACACTTAGCCACAACTATTTACGTTCAGGTGCAGCAGATGTGTCCAGGACTAATTCAAAAATAATTTTTTTTTCTCAAATACATTCCGTGCTGTTCTGCATCAATGGCTCCATATACACTGGCAGAGAAATCTGAATGCTGAAAACATCTCACTTCAAAATTTTAGACCACAATTTTTTTTATTTCTTCATCTAATATATATATATTTTTTTTTTTATAGCAAATTGATAAAAATTATCAACTTCCAATTAATTTTTTATCTAAAAGTCTTAGTAATAATTGTTGCTCTTAAAATGTGTTTTTTTTTTAAATTTTTATTTATTTTAATCGTGTATTATATATTAGCAATAGAATTATTTAAAACTTTTGTATCAAATATTTTTGATTTGAATGATCAGGCTACAAATTTGAATGCTTGATCCTTTTTATCATTCAAGTGAGAAATTTCTTAGCATCAAGCAATATGTGAGGAAAATGTTTTCGCCACAAAAGAAATAACATCAACACTATTTCAGTTGAAAACATTTGAAATATAAAACATGGTAAAAAATATTTACGCTTAAGCTATTTAGATGAGAAGCAGAATTATGATGGTGACGATAGCGATAAAATTGAAAGCATTTTCAAGCATGATTTTTTTTTTTTATATATCAAGGGAAATAACTTCTGATTCTCGTGCTCGAACGCGTGTGTGTGAAGATGAAGTGAAGTCATTTGTGTTGACATTTTGAAAAAAAAATCCTTTAAAGGTGGGGAATTTATAGTCTTAAGTTTTGTGAGGAAGTATTTTCTTTATTAATTTGACATTTTTTTTTATCTTACTGTTGCTTTTCATAAGGACATTTTAGCTCAAATTATCTCCAAGAAGATAGAAAAAAAAAATTAAAAAACTAGTCAAAAATCAATAATGAGACATGACTTATGATTTTACTGAAATTTGTTTCAGAGAGAATGAGACAAGCTTTTAGTTTTATAAAAAAAAAAAAAAGAAATTAATTTGATCTTTATATAATATAGGCTTTCACTTTTGTGTTTGTTTTATTTTTTTTGCTTTCAAGTTTTAAATATTCATGAATTTACAGAACTTTCTTGAAAAAGTGGTTAAATTAACTTTTCTTTAAGAGTATTGTTTTTTTTTTTAGGAAGAAGAAAAGAGACTAGGGAAAATCTAGAGAAAAAAGAATTTGTAATATGAGATTTTTGTTTTGAAATTGATTTTAATACAACTAATTTTTAATTTATCGAATTGTTTCACATTATGATAAAGATTGGGATTGCTGATCAATCTTTGCTGCTGGTAGTTTTACTCCTGACTTCCACAAAAAAATCAATCATTTTGTCATTTATTTTTAAAATGTACAATTTGACTTCATAAATTTAAATTTAAAATATTTAGGTAGAAAGAGATTTTGTTCAGCATTTCAGATATGTTTTCTAACCTTAATTCAAGATGGTACAAGGCAAATGGTGTAACAAAGTAAGTGGTTTGGTTTAGTTTGTTAGGCAGAAGAATTTTGGAAAAACTGCTGAATCAACAGTGCACTTACAGGAAAAACAGTTTTTAGGAAATCAGGACTTGGTCATGTGGCTATCTATGTACTTTCTGGAACTAATGAGGTCAGCATGTTAACCAGATTTGATGTCCAAAGTAATAAGCTTATGACTATATCACATTGATACACTGGTTCTCATATGATCACCAAAGTTAAGCAACATTGAGCCTGGTCAGTACCTAGATTAGTGACTGCTTGGGAATACCAGATGGTGTAAGCTTGGATGTATGGGTGGTGTAATGCTTAACAGCTTAAAATAGGAAATCAGAGAACAAAGTTCCAATTCCAGTTGGGTTTGTTATATTTATGTGCAAATACCCTTGGGAAAGGTATGAATCCACGCCTCCCCCCCCCATTATGGTTCAATTATTAGGACTTAGTAAATCAGTATTATCTCCTCCCGAATAAATAAATTCAAAGTAATATTTTTTGTGTTAAACCTGATTTGACCAAAATTTACTTCATAGTTTTCTACAAGTAAAAATCCTAATTTTTTTTATACTTTTACTTTTTTTCCTTTGTATGTTGATTGTACTTTGTTTAACTGTTACTCTTTTAATGTTTAAGTATGTTTGGTGTGTATTTAAAGCATACTAATATATTTGAGTATGTGAAATTAATATAATCACACATACACACACATATATAGGAGTCACTGTGCAATATGTTGTGTTTTTTTTGGGGGGGGGACTGTGGAGTATAGTAGGGGTGCCAAACTTATGGGCTGACCCAGGCACCATACACTTATGCCACCACAGCCATAAAAGAATTGAATGATACTGTTGTCTTTACTGAAATTGTTAGTAAATGAAGGATAGTGGACTTTTTATTTGTATTTTTTTTTCTTCAAGCCTAAATTCATAACTAGGAAGGCCAGAATTGTAAAGTGTGGATGATTTCTTTCTCTTGTATTCTTTTATGTACCATGTCCCTTCAGGACATGTATAATCATAGCTGTCCACAATTTCCTATCCTTTGTAGTTTTAAGTAATATTTGTCTCCTTACTATCCCTTCCAGTTCCTATTCAGCCATCATTTACACATTCATTACATAGGTTACGCATTGTTTCTCTCACTCTTAATGTCCTGTGAATGTCAAATTCTCCAAGCTTTTCTTTCCTCATTATGTGTCCCAGAAATTTCATCTGTCTCTAAATACCAGTGTCTCTTATGTTCTCATTTTCCTCAAAACTTCATTGTTGCTCATGAGTTCCCCCCATGATATTCTCAGCATCCTTCTGTAGAACCACATTGCTGTTGCCTCAAAACTTTTCTTAATCTGTGAGGAAATTGTCCAGCATTTACTGGCATATAGTAGGATTGATATTACATAGCAGTTCATCAGACTTATCTTTGTCTCCAATTACATTTTTCTATTTTGTAATGTTTTGTTTAGCTTTTTGGAGGTGTCTTTCATTATTTCAAGGCTCCTTTGGATTTCTGTGTCATAAAAAAACCCCAAAAAAACAACTAAGAAAAAAAACTATTTTATCTTCATTGAATTAAATTCACTGTTTAGTATCAATAACTGAGTTCAATCCTCACACTAAGTAGTAATGACTCTGTGGAAATTAGACTATCAATTACTGAGCAAAAAAAACAACAAAAAAAACAACTACATTTGTAGATTAAATAAAGGGTTCAATTCCAAATTCCTAGAAAGTTACTAGGATTGGCAGACACCTGAAGAAGGCAGAATATAATAGCTGAAATGTTTAGATGATGACAATAAAGATGATATTTGTTCAAATGTAAATAAGGGAAAAAAAAATGATTTCCACTTAAGCATTTCTTATTTAAAATTATATCTACATTACATTACTTTTGAAACAGCAGTTTTGTGATCTTGAATGAATTTTCTATCTTTTTTAGAACCTAACAAATGTGGCAACATGGTATTTCTGGTATTCTTTGCCATTTCAAGTTGGCTGCCATCTTAAATTGATCTTATTTGACTGAGTTGTAAATAATTTTCATTTTGGTTTATCAGCTTTATTCTTTAAAAAAAGTAAGGTACAATTACATTTTATTCAATTATATTCCCCATTATTTGCAATGGCATTTTTTCACTTATCAGGCAGCTATTTGATAAATTTTGTGTAAAATTCTGCAGGATTTGAACTCTTGAATTTGGTTTTCATTAAAGAAAGATTTCCCCGTCAAAATGTTTGCAGCAATTAAAAAGGGTAATAATCAATTGGTACAAGGTCAGATGAATATGTTACAATGTTTTTTTTTCTCATATTTAAAGAAATGGGGAAAACTTGAAATTCTCCCAAATAGTTTTCATCTACTGAAATTAAATGTGGCCTATTATTTTTTTTTTTTTTTGTATATATCTCTATCACATGATGGCATATAAAGACTCCTCTGCCCAGTCTGCAGCTGCCACTTGTGTCTAATGGCCATCCCATTGCTTCCCTCTCCTCCACAAACCTTTGTCAGGTTGTTCTTGGTTTTTCCCTTCTTTTTCTTTTGGGGGTCCAGGTCAATACCATGTTGTTGTTGTTGTTTGGGTCTTGCCTTAAAGTGTTGCTGATGAACTTCAATTTTCTTTGCTGTACCTCAGTGATAAGACGTTCTACAAAGGTATACTGGATCTGTTCTTCTATCTTCACACAGCCTTGCTATCTAATCTTAGGCATCCTTCTTAACTTTCTTATGAAATTGATTGATATTTACACTAGTATAAATATTGATATAAAATGCCATTAAAACCTTTTCACCCAGAGCAAAAAGAAGTTAACTCTAGAAAAAAAAAATCTGTTTTAAGATCCAGCAAGGATCTTAAAACAGATTTTTATATTGATCAAATATTGGTGACCTATAAGTTAGGAGATATATTTTCATTATTGGGATATTTTTCTTCTTTTTTTCTCAACTTTGAAATTTGTGAGATGAAAATTTACTAAACGAAGTGAGGCAAAGAATGCATCTGCTGAATTGGGATAAAAAGATGAAAATATTGGATAGAATAATATGTGGATTTGAAGCTCTAAATATGCAGTTTAAAGACATTTTCATTGTTTTCACTGAAGCAGCAAAGGCTGGTTGGTTTGGTAAGAGTCTAGAATTTAGGTGAGTCATGTGCACAAAATGAAAATTGAAAAGCTTTTATTACTTGTCAGTAACAATAGATTTTTCATTTATTTTTTTTAAAACCAAATTGATAACATTTCATATGGTATGTCAAGTTTGCAGTGAAATGTTTTTATTTTTTTTTATTTTTTAAAAATCATTTCACTCCAAGCAAGGCAATAACCCCCCTAAGACAACAGAAGGTTACGGAGTGAGATAATATGAGAAAAAAACCTTATTAAGAAGAAAGAACAGGAATTAAGAAGGCTGAAGATAATGATTGACACTGGTTTTAAAGAAATGATCTGATGGGTGTACACAAAGAAAATCTTGCCACACTGGATCACACACACAAAAAAAATGTTTGCATTTAAGAGAGAAAGGAACATTTAGCACCCCTCTCCTCCAATCTCACTATCAATAGGGATATATTTTTGAGTAGATATTTGGGATAAAATTCAAGATTTTATTTGACAATTTGATTTTAAATATAAATAAAATTTAGAATTTTGTGCACACATGTAAACACTTTTTTTTATGTTTCAATGTTTATTCACACAATTCTCAAATAATTATAGGAAAATCAATCATACTCTATTGATATTTACTAAACTTAGCTTAGCAAAAGCCCACAATTGTCAAGCACTGATGCCATTTAGATAATTTTTCTTACCTTAAACTGTAAAAAAGAAAGAAAGGTTTGTGCAAGGGTGCATAGCAATTTCCTATTTTGTTTTCATTTTCCCCACACCTCTTCAATCTAATCTCTCATTCAAGAACAATATAATGAAAGAAAACAAAAATACAAAATTTGGTAGTTTCTTCTTAGGCTTTATTTTGTACAGCAATAAATTTAGTGAAATTTTGTTGGTTCATGGATATACATTTTGAATATGAATTTTTCCCTCACTATACAGATATGTTTATCAAATGACATTTAGCTCAGGTGGGAATTTCTTGCATATTTTTATCTGATGAAATCAATTTTTCAGCAGAAATAAATTTAAAAAAAAAAAAAAAAAGTTTAGATTTTTATTCTTTTGGGAAAAGAATCAATTAACAAACTATCCAATCATCTGGAAATAACGTGTTCTTTTTCTTCCTCCAACTTATCCTTAATTTGGCTACCCTATCAACTTTATGAATACAGATTTATCAAAATTTACTAATCTTGGGTTGACCAAAATGTTCATTCACTTTAAATAGAAAATTTACTTCAAAAACTGAACAAAATTTTTGGGCAACCCAATATTGTACAAAGACAGATGGGAAGGAAATAAAGCTAAAAAGATTTTGCTAAACCAATCTTTTGTGTAAGATTGAACACTGCCTTCTGGCAGAAAATATTTTAGCCACAAACACATTTATCTTTAAATACCCAATGTCTAAATAGAGAAAAAAAAAAGTTCAGCCTTTTTGGTTTTATTTATTTTCCTAAATTTAACAGGGAATTTTATACCGAAAACTAATTTTCCTCTGAAAGAGAAATGATTTCTAAGTGATAATCTGAATGCTTATACAAGTACTTTTTAGTGTGTGTCATTGGGTAGATGTAGTAGAATTTGTTCTATTTTTTTTTTTTTTTTTTTTTTTTTCATTCATGTCAAGTAAATATTTGACTTCCTTGTCTAGTTAGCATTCAAAAAATACCGTGTTGTGCACTCTAGCAATTTTTCTTTTAATATTATAAACAGCTCAAAAGTTGATGAATTTGGTAATCGCATAATTTAACATTTTTTGTTTTTTTGGCAAACTTAAACCTTCGTGCCCACAAAAAAAACGGCGTGTTGTAAGGACGTTTTTTTTTTCCATTGTCACCGTTATTATTTCTACTTTCCATCCGCGACAATGTTTCCTGTTTTAAAAAAGGTGATTAGAATTGTAATAAAACCTAAACACTAAACAGTGATTTTTTTTTTTTTTTTTTTTCAAAAAAAAAAAATATATATATATATATCAAGATATCGCACATCTGAATCTAAGTTTGACAAAAAAATAACTTTCTTGTGAAAAGGACGGGGTTTTTTTTTTTTTTTTTTTTTTTTTTTACTACTTTCACTCCCTCGGGAAATTTACTTACAAGATTATAAAAATATTTATAATTTACCATTTTATAACGAAATAAATGTGAAAAATCTTT